GGCGGGCGGGGAAGGGTGTGAGGGAGCAGACGTTCACAACAGAAGTTTACAAGGTCGTTTTCTCTAACACTGTCCCACTGGCAGGACTTCCATAACCTTGACCAGTGCTGTTGGATTGTACTTGAGTTCCACTCGGTGGTTTTCCTTGCCCACTCATCTGATGATCACTGAGAGAGTTCATTCTTTTTTGTTCAGTCGTTCCGGGCTCGGAATCTCTCCCTCCCTCTTTTCTTTCTATCCTTCCGTTCTCCTGTTCAACTCTCGCTAATCCAATGACTTTCATGGCGTGGACTTCAGCCGATTCATATGAATTCCAACCGTTGGCTTGTCTTCCGCTTTCACAACCTGGAGAGAAAGTTTGTCAGACACGAAGGGCGTGTCGTTAGCGCGAGATAATTCATGCTTGACTATGGGCGGAGATGAATCCAAAGGGCCGATTGATTTCTGGGTTGCTTCATCTTTTTTCAAGGCACGAGGCCTTGTTGGCTCTGTTCTATCAAAGATGGACTATAAATTCGGATGTCCCATCTTCTAGATCAGTTTACAAGTGATCGGAGAAACTTCGTCGTTGGTACACCGACTGCACCCTTCTCTGTCGCACGCAATTTGATTAATGTGTGAGTTCGGTTCCCAAGTGGGCAAGTTGTCTTATCAAGTCTGTTTACTGAGATGATATACACAGTGGTGTCAAAAAGAAAACCAAAAATGTATTGACGTGGGTAGTGTAGGCGTTTAACACGAATACATTTTCAACTTTTTTGGGAGGACGCCACTGTATATGATAAGTATGGATCATTCAACCCTGGTTAACATGAAATATGTTCAAGTTATTAGACAGAAATAAGTCACTTTGAATGGAAATAGAGGTGGAGCAAATTTAGCAAATAGAAAAGAAAGGATGCAGAGTCGATACACAGTAGTGTTGTCTACGAGTTAGACTGCAAGAGCCCCACCACAGTACTGTTCCTCACTCTATAAAGATCTTGTAAGAATACAAATGTTTAATCGCTTGCAAAGTGCCAGGTGGTACTGAATGCTTCCCGGGAAACTGACAATGTTTTTGAAAGTTATATAGTCTGTGCAAAATGGCAATTGCGAATGTTCTACGCCCTTATCAACTTAATTTAGATCATTTAAGAGGTGGGCCACTTCAGCCCTGCCGGTCTGACATCCATGCAGAAAAACAGAAATTCGATTTTAAAAAATAAAATCTCCCCAAATGGGAATCGAACTCACTTCTTCTTTGTGCGAAAACCAAACGTTTAACCGCAACAGCAAAAACACGGGTTACATAATATATGAGGTCTACTGGAGTATTGATTAATTTAAAGCACTGCAAATACGTAGAATTGTATAATGGTATAAATGCTACTTAGTTAATAACCAAAACAATTCACCCGGAATGTATAACGCATAGAAGAATTATAACTACAAAAAGGTTATAATTATAATAATATAGTGCTTGTAGAAAACCACTTTCATTAAAGCGAGAATTTAAGCAGTCAGCTTTAGCGGCAAAATGATTTGACAAAGATTAATTTTTGAAAGCTGCAAGCTAAAAAGAAACCAGTTAAATCATCATGAAAAACAAGTAAAATAAGTTATGAGGTTAATGCCCTCTAGCTACGTAATTACTTCTATGAAAATTTAGAAAGTTTGAAACAACAACGGTCATAAGAATAAAATAGAAAGTTTGTCATAATAACGGTTATAAGAACGAAATAGAAAGTTTGTCATTTTAACAGCCGTGGGACAAGAATAGAATGAGAAAGGAACAGAAAGCTTGTGGCAATAACAACTGTGCAAAAAAAAGGAATAGAAATTGGGTGATGATAACGGTAATGAGAAAAAGAAAGGAAAGTTTACAGCAGCAACAGATACTAGAAAAGAAAAGAACGTTTTGTGGCTATAACGATCGTGTGAAATAAATAGAAAGTTTTTCACGTTAATGAACAATAGGAAAGATTAGAAAGTTCGTCACACCAGTGGCTATGAGAACAACAAAGAAAGTTTGTGACAATAACGGTTATGAGAGTATAATGGACGGTGAGTAACAATAATGGTCTTGCGAAAAGAATAGAAAGTTTACTGCAATAACGGCCACGACAAAACAAAGGAAAATTCGTCTCGTCGATGGTCTTTAGAAAATAATAAAAAGTTGATGTCTTTGATTAACGTCAATAAGAAAAAAAGAAAGGAGCGGTAACTCACCCAGGTTGGAGGCAGACAGCTGTCCGTTCTCTAGGATTGTCATAATCTTCTCCAGATAGCCATGACCATAAGATTCCAGTGGGTAGGCGGGCTCGCCGTGCTTAGGAATGTCTAGACCTGAGAAAGAAATAAACAGTTATGATGGTGATGATTGTGTTTTTCTCTCATATAGACACAACTTCGTTCCCGTATAGAGAAGTTTATTCATTTTGTCGACTGTCTCCGCCTGTCTACTGGCGCGATGCATCACATTCGGTAGC